GCACCTGCAACAGGGTAAATAAACCCTGAGTACACAATGTACTCGCAAGACTTACCCGACTAGTGGGAATAACTTCCCGACTCCAAAGAATATGATAAGCTTTATGGGTTATTGGGTTTCTTGTTTGCGAAAAGCAATACCAGTAGTGATTCTTATGTATGTTTCTTATTAGCAGTCATGATTAATTCATTATCTAACCATTCTAAATAAGCACATGTTCTATTTTCAAGCAAGAGTTGAGCAAATAGATCAATTTCACCATCTTTCATCTTCCAGTTCTTACTACGGTGCTAGACTATAGACAAGTCATACCGGATTACCCAGCAATTCATGAATCAATGTGCCTAGCTGTGTACTCCAAAACGCACGCTTCGCTTATACCCCAGGCACAAGCAGGACCAACCCACCACTCTCCTGTCAAGGGGTCTAGGTTCCCGTCCAAACTTGGACTCCAAGCCCCCCCACATAAGTCTCGAACCCAGTGCGGTGCTTAGACCTCCACCATCCCTGTCTCTAATCAGTCAGTCCGGAAAGAGCTAGAACCCATGACAAGAGAGCAACGTGCCTTCCCTGCTCCCATAAACAAGTATACGCTCAGGATAATAAGTCCGTGACTTGCCTAAAACCCAATGTAACGACCGGTCCTTAACCGACACAGACAGGGAAAATAGTATAACCAAGCTATGCCCCATTGGCCGCGGGACACAACCTCTTACACCCCTAATAACCATATCATATCCCTGTCTGGTCTCTATTTTTTCTTTCACCATTTTATCATGAGAGTGATAATAATAATCACACATTGTGAGTAACAATAGGTTACTCACGCTACCGAAAAACCTAAGCATAGCAGCTACTCGACCTAAGCTAGTAGGACTCATAGGTAGATATATCTATGCATGTAGTTTCAATATAACTCCTATAATGTAAATGCACGTCATATATATATTTCCAGTGATTATTCAAAATAAGGGTTATACACCGGGGCTTGCCTTGGGCATACGCGGTGTCAGCTCAGTCAGTCTATGGTGGCTCCGGGACCTCCTCCTCGTACTCTTCAATCACCTCCTCATACTTCTGCTCGCCCTCGGTCATGAATTCCACCAACTCGTTTTCTACATGCATGCAATGACAATGCAACGCTCAATATTAAGGCAACAACAGTTCTTAAAATAAGAATATATCTACTAAGCCACTAAGCTAGCTCTAATGACTCAGATACCAAGCTAATCATCATTCCCATCAAACCAGCAGGGTTTCGCCTACAAGTGCTACTTAGCAACTAAAATATATTCTTACTCTTATTAACGATTTCCTATATACTGCAACAAGGAGTACTTAACTATCATATTTTTCAACATATTCTAAGGCTATAAAAATTACAGTGAGCACATAATAATACAATAAACCTACTGTAAAAATTTCATGGACAAAACCATTACCCATTTGCCATAAAAAATCCTACAAATATTAACCTAATAATACTAAGCTCTTTCAAATGAATTAATATACCTAAGCATCAAGTCAGACATGTATCCACTAATCATACTATCAGATAGACAATATTTTTAGAAACTAAACAAAATTTATTTCATCATTTTTGGATGTTCATGTGAATTGATATGATTTTTCAAAGTCTAGCTCAGAATCTAAATATAAAACCTATTTCTATTTTCTAGAAAAAGGAAAAATGAATTCAACCCACGCGGCCCACTAATGAACGGGGCGGCCCACAAACGTGCGAAGGCAGCCCGCAGCGGGGGAGGCCCGCGCGCGCGACACATATGCAAAAACGCCCCTAAACTCTGGGCAAACTAACTCGAAGTCCACGTTACTATTCCTAGAGACAACACTTATGCAAAAGAACCCTCAGACCTTTCTCCTCTTTACAACGATGAGGCCCTCGGCCACCCACGCGCGTGGCGGCGCGGCGACGATGGCATTGGACGGCCACGCCAGCCAGCTAGGACCCGCGCTGGCTCCACTAACAGGCTGACCCCCGTCTACAACCCTAGCGCCAACACTAGCCTAGGTTATAGGAGCGGCGAAGCTCGCGGAAGTGGTGACCACGTCGTGCGGCCATGCGCGGCAGTGGCGCGGCCATGTCGGCCACCCTAAGCCACCGCGGGGTGAACTAGCTAGCGCTATAGCATCACTATCTTACCCTAGTTGCGGCTGCGGTGGTGGTTTGGCCAGAGGTTCCCCGAACAAGGCTGGCCACGTGCGGGTGGTGGGATGCGGCGGCGCTCTAAGACGATGCGGCCATGTCAGTGGCTATGGCGAGGCAGTAGAGGTGCAAGTGAGGTGCGTAGGGTGAAGTGGAGGTGGAGGCGGAGTTCATGGTGTAGATGGATTGATGAGGGGTGGAGCGGTGGGTGGCTGCCCTCGGCCACGGCCGGTCTCAGCCTTAATGGCACGGCGAAGGGGGAACTTCCAAATTGGAGTTCGTCGTGGCTCGATTCAAGGTGGGGTGGGGATGGTTGGCACGCGGACATCAATGCGCAAACACGGGCACGCGAAATTGAAGGCAAGTGCCTACGCCCTGGCACACCGTGGCCGTGACGTGACGGCGGAAACAGAGGCAGTCGGGCGCACAGAGGCGGGCAGGGGAGAAACGAGAGGACGGGAGGCAGTGAGGACGCGGCCGGTAGCTGGCGAGTGCACCTTGGCGCGATGCGACTGGCGCAACTAGTACGGCCCACGGCCGGAGCTAGCCGACGGCACGCGCTCGAGGTCGGCGTGGCCCACGCGCACAGCGCCTAGGCGGACCAGAGGGGCAGCGTGGTGCAGCGGTAGATGAGAGCGAGACGGTGATGCGACGGCAGCGGCAGCGTCACGACGTGCGGTGGGGCAGCGCGATGGGACGAGTCGGCATCCACGGCACCGCGCGGCGGCAGGCCGAGGAGGCCAGTGGTGCGGCCAGAGCAGCAACATGGCAGCAGGACAGGACGTCCGCGCGGCAGGGCGACAACGGTGACCTGGACGCTGGGCCCGCGTGTCAGCAGCAATGTGCAGCCAGGCCAACCGGCCCGCGGTGGACCGCCGAGCGCGCCAACGCGCGGAACGCCCGACGCGGCGGCGACGACCACCGGTGCGCGGTGACGGCGCCCACACGAGGGAAACAACTTGGAAACGTGTTGTGCACGGATTTTAAAGCTTCTACCGTGACCAACCCGTTACTCCTAAACATAAACGGTCTTCACTACACTCAAGATGGTATATGAGGCTACTTAATCAAGCTATAGCACTACATCGCTCTTTAACCTAATTCATCAGAATAGTTTGCTAAACATAGCAATGTCTAACTGTCAACAAACTTCGAAATTTTTCTAAGTTATGAGTTCAACTCTATTTCAATTTGCATTTCTAAGCTATTGGAAATCTTAGCTAGTAATATCATTTTTCGACCGCCGGTATTTCATTGCCATCTACAAAGTTTGTACTTCAAACTTTATTTAAGTATCCCATATATGTTCTATAGCATTTTTGCTTAATAAAAATTGGTTTTAAACCCTAAGTGATATAACATGACTATGGAATTAACTTTTATTTCGCATTTCCGTTGATCGTTTCGAGTTACAGAAATTGATCTACACACTTTATTACATGCATTAACACATAAACATGATGCTCATGACATGTTTTAGTAAATGATTTACGGGTGTTACACAAGGCATTTGTATCCCTTGTTATAGGACATTGTTTGGATCGAAATTCAAGCTTATGCTTGTTATAGGGCGTAGATTGGACCAACAAGCACAACAAAAACACGAAGAAAGTTGTAATTCGATTGTTCATGAAACAACCGAGTGAACAGAGTAGACAAATCAATAACTTTACTAGGAGTACGATTTATAACATAAGTAGCAGTAAGAAAAGCTTTAACCCAAAATTTTAGAGGCATGGATGCTTGATCGAGGAGAGAAAAAACTAACTTCTACAATATGTCTACATTTGCGTTTAGTGAAACCATTTTGTTTGTATGCATGAGGACAAGAAATATGATAAGCAATACTAACTTCTGAAAACAGGCATTTAACTTCGATATTCACCACCCTAATCGATTTGTATGTTGAATTTTTTTGGCTAAAGATATGTTCAACGTATTGTTGAAAATTAAGAAACACCTAGAACACCTCAAATCTATTTTTGAGAAAATAATTCCATAATAATTTGCTGAATCATCGATAAAGCTTACATAGTATTGAAAACAACCAATGGACTTGGGTGCAGGCCCCACACATATGAGGAAAACTAATTTTAAAAGGAAAGTGGAAAGATTATGAGAATCAAGATAAGGTAATTGGTGACTCTTAGCTTGTTAACTAGCATCACAAACGACACAAAATTGTTATCATGAATAACATGATCAATAATGGAAGAAGGATGCCCGAAATGATGATACCATAGAGAGGATGTAGGTTTAATAGCATGATGAATGAAAAATCAAAACAAGTTTAGGGAACCGAATATGTAATTTGTAAATACCGAGATCTGCATGAAAATTCGAGACAAAATCAAGTAAATTTAATTATAAGCATATGGAAGACATGTCTCATAACCCTAGCGGGGATTCCTACTTCCTAGGCTAGCGGGGGTTAACTTTTACTTACTCTCTCCATCTATAAAAAAATATAATTTTAGCATAGTAACATGTTAAAATATCTCTTCATTAACTATATATAAAAAATCAATATTTATGATAGCAAATAAATATCATTAAATTTGTTATTAGATATGTTACACATAATATTTTTTTTATATATATTTAGTCAAATTTTAGACACTTTAACCTGAATGCAATTAGAATTGTACTCCGTAGTGTTGTTGTTGCTGTTGTTTCTTTTAGGGTGGTCGTATAATATCGCTGCAACGGCGCCGGCGCAGCCAATAACGGGCAACAGCCGGGCAGACGGAGACGCGGAGTGGGGCGCGCAACCTGTGGGGTTTCAGGGTTTGTCCCTGCGTGGCAGCGACCCAGCCCCATCGAGGCATCGAGGATGGAGCCGGGAGCCAAATCGGAAGCAAAGCAAGGTGAGGCGAGAGCGGGATCTGGTGCGGGGGCAAGCGGCAGCGGCAGCGGCGGCGGCAGCATCAAGGTGTATCATGAGAGGCAGAGGCTGCAATTCTGTCTCCTCCATGCTCTCAACAACCTTATGCAGGTAGATCCCATCTCTTTCTAGTTTCTACCATTATCTGTATCCCCTTGACTTCATGCTCATGTTCTATTAGCGCGCTGTGCTTATTACTTCCTTTATATGTCCTTTGATCCCTGCATATCCTCTATAGTTCCAAATTGCCCCTGGTGAGTGGTGACTATCGGTTTCCAGAGAGGGACTGATTGAGTTGCTTGTTGAAATTGTTAGTAGTTGGGCGTTGTGCGTGCTCCACTCACTAGTTTATCTTATATTCATATATGGATGAATCGAATCCGGATGGTCACGGCATGTTTATCATGCTATCTGGACGCACATTTATGTGTACTGCTCATCCGTTTTGCACACTTCTTTTCCACCCGTTGAATAAAGTCTGGCGAGATTTGCTTGTGAAACATGAATTTATATAAGCCCGGGAGAAACAGATCATGTAGAGTCGTTAACTCTATTGGTTATGTGTTAAATTGCAAAATGCTTCAGAGATTATGTAGGCTGGATTACTGCAAAAGCACGGACAAGTCAGAATTCACGAAAGTATATAAAAAAGTCACGATTCACGAAGATTTCACCTGCTACCTGGGCACCTGGACTTGGATGTTCTTCTAAAAATAAAAAATATTATTATAATTTACTTGCATACAAGGTTTTGCTCTTTCGCTTATATCAATATATATGTTATAAGATCACAAATCTCTGAAAACGGCAGTCCATTTATTTCTTTTTTATGTACTATCTTTCTTACTTTGGTGTGCCATATTTATATCTAACTTCTGTAGACTAAGTGTGTCAGTTATGTTTTCTGTGGTTCAGGAAAAGGAATGTTTCACCCGTGTTGAGTTGGATGGGATTGCTGGAAATCTTGTTCTCAGTGATCCAAACAAGGGCCAATGGACTCCTCTATCATTCATTTTTAAACCGCACCACAATGTTATAACTGGGAACTATGATGTAAATGTTCTCATCACAGCATTAGAAGCTAGAAAGAAGAAGGTGGTTTGGCATGATCGTCGGAAAGGGGCATCATCAATCGATCTGAATGCAGAAGCATTGGTAGGCCTGATGATCAATGTACCTATCAGGAGGTTCAGGGGGCTCTGGACTGGCAGGCATTGGGTGGCAATTCGAAGCATTGATGGCATCTGGTTTAATTTGGACAGTGATCTTTCTGAACCCAAGCAGTTTAAGGACAAAGAAAACGTGATTGGGTTCCTTGACAGTGTGCTCAGTCAAGGTGGAGAACTCATGGTCGTGCTGCGAGATGAATAACCCTATTGCCCCAAATCTCAAAAGGCTACCAAAATAGCCTCTTCTATGTGACTTGCCATACTTTTGAGTTGTCATCTTAATGAGATCACAGACACCTACAGCAGAAATTTCCTAAACCCTGCGGTTTAATTGCTGATCATAATGGACAGATTGGTATATGGAAGGTTCAGTGTGCAACATATACACTTCATGTGTTTCAGCCGACCCTTTGATTTATTGTTGTGCCCGTCTATGTCATATACTGGATTGCCAACCAGGTGTCTGCAGTAGGTAGAACATTAACTTGATAAATGATGAAAATAGCGAACTTCGATTCTCAGAAAGAATACGTTACCGTGGAGTTGTACAGAACTAAAGGGGAGGTTGCTTCTGTTGTAGTTATATGCTTTGGAGAAACAAAGTTGTCCTGGCATGCTCCTAGAATTTGTCAGTTCGTTCGTAAGTACTATTGGATACCAAGATATGTAACATTATCTGTAGATTATACTAGTTGATACCCATGGAATAAGCAGAGCTGTATCCCATCGTCTTTCAATTATTACAAAGCATTAAATATATTTAGCTGTAAGATCATTGTTGTTTAATGCCATCATATTGAGTTAGGAAGGTGATGCTATTGAGCTTGTTATGGAGATGCTGTGGTGATTTAATACTTTCTTTCCTCGCCCTTGCACTAATTACTTTCTTTCCTCGCCCATGCACCGCATCTTTCCTCGCCCTTGCACCACATTCATGCAATTTGATTTCAGTTGGGGAAGCAAAATAACCAAAGGAAAAAATGGTGTAGTTTGTCTACTGTGTTCTTCCAAATTTCAACTTCAGACTCAGAAGTGTCAGAGAAAACAAGAAAAGTAATTTGCAGAAACTGCCCTACAAAAATACCAAAGGGGTTCTTCAGAAATTCATAGTTTTGTTACTCTTTCAATAAAAAAAATGAATTGTAGCTTCAAAACATCACACATAATCACTTCTTCCGTCCGAGTGTCATTCTTATCTTCCGAGAAGTCAAATATTTACAACTTTAATCAGATATATAAGAAATATTAATATTTAGGATATATAATTAGTATCATTAAATAAATCACTGAATAATTTTAATAATAAACTTATTTAAAGATACAAATATTGATAATATTTTCTACGAACCTAGTCAATTTTTAAAAAAGTTTGACAGACCCTTTTTGGGATAGAGGGAGTATAGCATAACTGTACTTCACAGCTATTCGTGTCCATCACGGATTATAGCATAACTGTACTTCACAACTATTCGTGTCCGTCTTTCGCACAAAAAGAAAATATTCGTGTCCATCCGGTGCCTCAACGAGCCGGGTTGCGCTGTTGCACCTGGTTTGGATTGCACTTGATTTATTGGCACCCGAGCGTCGTACATAATTCGGTATTGAAGCCACTCACAGCAACAAGACTCTATACTGCACATGCGACAAGTACTTCGTTATTATTGGAGCATTTGTGTCAAACCATCTGAGTTAGCAGATCGGCAATCTTAAGTGCTGTCTAATGTACATGAATTGCATACAAGCCGTAGTCAGTCAAACTGTAGACATTTGTTTTGAATGCAGCTAGCCACACAAACTCGCAAGCTGTTTTGGTACAATGTACAAATTCTTTGGTTATAACAGCAACTAGTTGGAGAGGGCAGCGAGAGAAGAATCCGGAACAAGGAAGTCTAGTTAGTTTTGCCCATCTTCTTCCGCCAGTACGATATTGCAGTGCTGTAGTGCTCATTGCGGATTTTCTTTGAGGCTGCTCTCCAGTCACACTTCTCCATCTCTTCCCTGGCAGCCTTTCCAATGGTCTCTCTGAGATCTTTTGAATTGAGGAGCTGCTCTATCTTCCTCACACACTCATCGAGATCTCCGGGTGTAAACAAAAAGCTTGTCTTACCCTCCTTGTCCTTGGGTATTATATCAGGTATCCCTCCAGCACGAGCAGCGACGACTGGGACTCCAGAAGCCATGGACTCCAGCACTACTTGCCCGAGGGTCTCAGACTCTGAAGGCATTGCAAATACATCGGCACTGGCGTACGCTTGTGAGAGCTCCTCACCTTGGAGCATTCCAGTAAAAACTGCAGGCATGCCCATGAACATTTTTTCCAACTCAGCCCTGCATGCCCAGGTAAAACAGACAATGTAAATATTTCTATTTTTAAGATCAAACCATTGCAAGGGTCAAACAGATGACCGAACACCTAAAGTATAAGTTAGTTATCTATGGTGCTGCTACAACATGTGTGGTGTGGCTGTACTTTTAGTGCATTATAACTACTGTACTTGGTATACAACTGTCCTGCATTGAACAATTATGGCCTACTATTAGGAAAAAGAATTCTCAGGCCAACCCATGATTGAAATTATGTTTGTCCACTTGTAATTTAAAATAAATTGTTTACAGAAGGGTATTTAGCAGGCATGTGATGCAGATAAAATCATTTTGACAGCATGCAAGTAATGATATGTGGTTGAAATACATATACATATCTCATCAGGTGTGCATCATACTAAAAAAATAACATATAGCTAACGACTGAGGAATGGTGCACCTGTATGGCCCGTCTCCAACAAAGGCAATCCTTGCTCCTGGAAGCCTCTCCATAACCCTGTATTTTGACCAAAGTAAGCAAAATTCCTAATGATATGACAAGATACAACCTGCAGACAAGTAGCCCATGAAAGGTGCAACCAAATTGAAATGCTTATTTGGTTAAAAAGCAATATGATATGCTGTGTATGCGCAAAGCTAAAAGGTCAAGCCAAAGTAAACTATGCTGACTTACAGAAAGCTGACAATACTGGGAAAATAGAGAGTCAAGCAATTTTAAGTTTCAGCAGCAACACGAACATGATAGTTCATTAGCTTCTGTAGGAATTATAGCCAAAATTAAATGATGGATAAAATCTATACCATATGGATATGCTATGAATAATCAATCGAGTTAGTTAACTCGAGTTCATGCTGATGAGTGGTTACACTTCCTGTATAAAGTAAAAGGCTCACCTTTTCAGAAAATCCAAATTTTTTTCACGTCCAAAACGGCCCACATGTATTACCAATGGTTTTTCTGGTTCACCACCACTAATGGGAAAGGAAAAGAAATTGTGTTAGTCCATGCAAAGTTTCTTAACACTCCTGTCATTAAAAATTGAAGCAAGCGGTGACACCTCAATCTGGCACGCATTTCATGCCTCTGATATTTAGTATGAAAGCTTTCAGAATCTACACCCTTATTCCAAAGCCGTATTCTGTTTGCTGAAGAGGCATAGCAGGTTATGTTCAGCATGGATAGAGGGATCAAAAACTAGAAAAACATTAATAATATTGTCACTACTTAACCTGGTACCACTTTAGCAGTTTCAAAGTCTTCAGCAATAGCCACCGAAGGAACTAGAGTAAGATCTGCTGATCTGTGGAGGCATCCTTTGAAATGAAAAGAGATTCAGCACACAGTAATGAAAACCATCAAGTTTTTATAGACCACTTTTCTTCTGCTGAGAACAAAATAGGAGTGATAATATTGTGGCTTACTTATAAAACCCCATGTGGGCTCAAGTAACCAATTTAAATTGTATCTCGGTATGTACCTGCAAGCCGTAACAGCACATGAATTAAAAACCGCAAAAGCATTAACAGCCATGACATCGAACGGTAAAATTTGCAATGGAAAGAAATGATGCAGCCCAGCTGATGTCTACTAGGAAAATGAAAAATGTTCAGTCATGGTTCTAGCATATCAGAGGCAGAACGTGTGTTCATTGATTTCCTCACACATACATCTATGTGGGAGTTCCCTTGTTTTGTATTGCGACAAACCTGTACTGAATCTATGTCCACACTCCACATGCACTATACCAATTAAGCTATGCAGCATTGCACCTGAGGTTCTATGACCACATATGATTGGCACAAACAGATTTGCCTCATGGTATCACCGGCTCACCACAGGTTCATAATGCCTGCCCAAAACTATTTTTGAGTCTATTTCAGGACACATTTTGTTGAACTGATTTACTGAGAATTCTCCATATCAGCCAGAACGCTGTTTAGGAAACTCAGTATTCAATTCTCCCTGAAATGAATTTACACGCAGAACATTCTTCAATGTGATATGTACATGTACAACAAGTAAATGACCCCTCACCAACATATTCACAAGACTATCAGTTAGTATAATCTGAATGGTCAACTGGCTAGATTTTTTTGCACAAAAAGTGGACAAAATATTGTTGATGATTATATGCAAGTACACAGAACTTAAAATGAAAAGTATTGACCCCACAGGGATCTGTATCCTACAATGATGACATCTCATTCTATGAAACAAATCGGATGTTACACAAACAAGGTATAATTGAACTTCCAGAGCTGATCACTACTTTAAACGTTTGAAAGATCTGTATCTAGTTAGATCATACATGCAAACAAACTCATGTTGTGTCAAAAGAATATCATTTCAACAAGAGGGACTCACGCTGGAAGATGTGTGTGATAAGACATCACCATTGGAACTGATATCATCTTTGCTATAGCCAGAGCGCCGAGAACCTGTAATCACATAAGGTGATAAGTAAGGCAAAAACATTGGACGGAGTATAATACTATGGGTATGCATTGATTACCATAATTCCAGGTGAAGTCGCATGGATTATGTCCGGCTTGAATTTATTCACCTCAGAAAATATTCTGGGGCTCAATGCCAGCGAGAGTGGAACATTTTGGTACAGAGGACATGGAAAACTGAAAAGGAGGGTTTTAGGAAACCGAAATTGCAAAACGACAAAATATTCCAAAAGTAGAATTTTAACGCGATACCAAAACGAGACAATGAAACAGAACAAAATATCATGAATAATCAATTTCAGTGCGTGATGTGCATGCCTAAACTAGCATGCTGCTTGGCTGGTAGAATTGTAACGCAAATGGAAATGAAATCAGTTCACATTATATATGTTGCCATAACGTGGAAAGCTGTGATTCGTTTGCGTTTCCGTTACCAAAACTACCACCAAACAGCACGTAGAATGCCCAACGACTACAAAGATCATTTACACCTTTGCCCTGTTCGCTTGTCTCTCTTTTGCTTCAACAAGGAAGCAGTAATCTATTCCAAAGTGAATCCAAAGATGTGCTCTCAGTAAGGTTGTTATTACTATACATTATTGGTATTCCTGATAGTCTATGTTGGGTTGCAGATTACCTCCACGAGCCAATGACCTTTGCTCCATGGAACTCCTCAGGAGCTCCCTTGTGAGTAGTCACCACCAATACCTGAACCAAAAAGTGCAGATGACGTGAATTGTGGGTAGAAATATGGTCAGGAAGAAAATCTCATACATATACTACTATATTAGAGCATTAGACGTGAATTCTAGAATAGTAATATGGTCCTGAAGAAACTCTCATACATATACTATTGCACTTTGCTAGACAAGGAAGAACAGAGTGGTTACCTCATCGCCCATCTCTCGTAGATGCTTGATGAAGTTCTGAAACCGATTCTTGTAGCCGGAAATGTAACTGCAAAACCCGGAAGCCATTGACTTAGCAGTAATCGGTGCTTAGATCAAAGAAACGGCAGGTTTGACCAATCATTATCTTAGTGGCCCAGTGGCTTACACGCCGATCCGATCTACTCTAATCTGACTAGCAGCTGAATGCCTGGGAAGAGAAGGCGGAGACTAACGCAAAGGGCGACGGCTCGACGAAGAGAGCAATGCGGCGCGGTTTGGAGCTCCACTCGGCGTCCGCCTCCTCGGTCTGCAACAGCGGCACCTGCGCCTCCCCTGTCTGCGACATCCTCCTCTGACGCGAGCGATCCCCGGCAGCAGTCCACCGCTCGAACTAGACGCAGCCTGATTCGCTTGTGCCGCTTCAAGCGCGTGCCGTGGCCGCCCTTATCCTGCTTCCTCCCGCGTCGTCGGCTCCCTCCGGCCCCGTCCCAGCCTGCCGCTTGACTTGCAACCCACGCGGGCAGGTGGCGGCGGCGGCGCGCTGAAGCAGCTTCACGGCAACGCGCGGGCGCGGGCGCACCCAGCAGCGGCACCGGGACGCGACGGGGCGCGCGTGGGGGAAGCGCGAGGACGACGGCGGGGACGTGGTTGTGGTGGACTGGCAGTGGCCGTGTAGGGAGAGAGAGAAAACAAATATGAAGGAAGTGGCGAAGGCAAGGAACGAGACGAGCCAAAGGCAGAGGACAGCGGCAGACGGGGAATCGAACCGATTCTCTCCAGCTGCCGATCGAAATCAAGCGGGGCACGGCCGTCGACGAGGGAGAGACAGAGAATAACTGTCAAGGCAAAGGCCGCCGACCCGGCGTGGAATATGCTTTTCCCTGCCGCAGTGCCGCGGGTGGGAGGCCCACCTGGTCCGGCCGGCCGCTTGGCCTTGGACGATTGGACTCGCCTGCCTGTGTGCCTGCTGCGGCATGCGTTCGTGCGTCCGAGTCCGATTTTTACCGCGCTCTCGCCTCGGTAGGGCAGCAGGAGCCACCAGCCAGGCAGGCAGTCCAGACACGGGACGGGCCGATGGGGACGCGCGGCGCGGGTGCACTCTAGTGGAGGGCCTCAGCTGCGGACTTGCCGATGCGGCGACGGCGATGCCATTGCGAGGTACGGTCCGATGCCCGCCCGTGCCACCTCCAGGCTCCAGCCTAGCTCTACCCCGCAGGCCGCAGCCGAGTATGTTCGTTTTGGCTTGTATAATCAAATTCTCGTTGAAAAATGTGAGAACCCCAATTAACATCTTGATTTCGTGAGTTCGACCGGCCCTACTTGGATGCACCGGCTAACTTAGCTGTGGTGAATCCAAAGTCCAAACACGGTACAACTAAACTCAGCTAAAGGTCTCTCGGTTAATGAGAACCAGCTAATCTCATTAGCTGTTCTAACCCGGCTAATGGCACCTAAAATTGGTTAATGACCAATTTGCTCCTCAATCATTTCCACAATCTTTTTTGCTGCATCTGCGCTCATGCCCGTCCGACCATGGCTACTCCAGCCCGACCTCAGCCTTCTCTGCGCCGGTTCGCCATGGCTGCTCCTCTCAGCCGCAAGCTCCGCCAGGCCATGCCCGCCGCCCACGCCTGTCCGCGACACCATGTAGGACCCGGCGCTCCCACGCTCGCGAGCTCCGCCTGGCCGCACCCGTCGTGCAGGATCCGCCGCGGTCACGCCCACGAGCTCCGTCTAGCCGCGCCCTCCTGCACGCGAGCCAGTCGTGAGGAAGAAGAGCCCATGTCTTTTATTATTACTACTACTAGCAAAGATACCCGTGTGTTTGCAACGGGATTCAATACGTGTTGGAATAAGATATTTTGGACGTGAGTGAGCTATATCACGGGTCTTAAGTTTGAGTCAAAAATTAAATTAACTTAGTAGTAAAAATCATTGTTTCTTAAGGAGTAAAAGATTAAAATAGTTGTGGTCTCTTATTTATTATTTGTTTTTTACTCTTATTATATCTATTAGAAACAAAAAAACAAGTGGAGAAAACCACGGAAACAATGAAAACAAATTCAGAAAAGACGAGCTAGTGTCCAGAAACAATAACGAGAAGAAAAATCTAAACATACTTGAAGCCGAGTAGAAAGTGGTCATGACAAAAATTAAAATGTACTATAGAAAATAGCCATGGAGCGAACGGGTGCTAGGCCAGCTGGTTTAGCGCTCTCAGTAGCACCCTCGAGGTGCGGGTTCGAACCCCAGGTGTGGAGCACCCACGTGTTGTTTTCAGGGATTTTTCCTGAGCGAGGTAAAAAACTCCCTCTTCTGCTCCACGTCCAAAGCATAGGTCTGTGGTCAGCTCATCTCAAGGAGCTACGGTGCCGCTGTGTATGGGTGGGATAGGGATTTGGGGGTTTTTTCGATCTGCGTGAGAAGATCTTCTTCTTAAACCGAAATACCCTAGCCACCGCGGATCAAGATTTTTTAAAATAGCCATGAAAGAAAAGAACATATTCGGAGCCAAGTGAAAAACGTCTGCTGTAGGGATCCACTCATTTTCATCTGAACACACGCAGTGCAATCCACGAAGACACAGGATGTAGGGTATTACATCAAGCCGACGGTCCGAACCTGTCTAATCGTTGTCTCTTGCGTTCTGTGTCACCATCCGGTCTCCTCACGCGCACCTCCACCAATTCATCTACTACCGTGGGCATACCCCTCGGTAGACTGCCGACCATATTTCATCGACAGTGACGCGTCAGGTAGGGGGTGTGCGTACTGAATCCATGGCGAACCAGATGGTCACCTTCCCAAGCTCCATGCCCCCCCTCGAGACGGGCCAGATCTTCACGGGTGGATCCATGACATGGGTCATCGGCCCCGACGGCAACGGGGAGATCATGGAGGCGGTGCAGGACCACCCGGCGCCGATCGCGCTGACACTAGCAATGACATCTTCGGTCCCGGCGTCACATCGCTGGATCAAGAGATCCATCAACAATGATGACCTGATCGCATCCATTGATCAGGTCACAGATCGCCTAACAGAATGCCAACTCCTCGTAGATTCGGTCCTAGATCGATCTAGAGCAAGCGACGATTTTCCTGCTCTCCAAGATCACCAAGCCACAGCGACCGAGCGACCTGCTCGGCCACACTGCGCAAGGCGGATAGATTCTGATCTGGTGATCACGGCTACTCCAGAAGGGTGCACGGTGCGGTGCCGACCACTTCCCGCCACCGGCCTTCGCTTGGATGACTATGAAGCCCCGATGGAGAACCCATCGATGCCCTACCCCTTTGGGATGGAGGGTGTAGGATCTGCGTATCAGAACGCCGTCCACCACGTCGAGCGCAATCGTGTCACCGACCTCTACATGATCGACCCAACTGACTCTGGTCAGCCTGCGCCCGTGGTCAACATGGTGGCCATTCATCAGCTCTTGGAGATTCCCCTCTTTCGACCGAATCTCTTCGCCATGTCTTGGACGAAAGCCCCGATGATTCTTCCGAGGGCTTGACCAGGATCCTGTCGAGCTGCCCTACTTTCCCTCCGGGGTTTGGGGGCTTTCAACGAGCTCGACAAACTCCCTCACACTCCAGAGGTCGAGAAAATCCGTGCGCACATCATAGCTGCACAAGTCCAGGTCAATGAGTTCTGGAATGATGCGCCATCTTACTCCACCGCGTCGGCTTGTAGCCACCGCTCCCACCGCGATGGAGGAGGCCAACATCATGGCGTCAACGCCCCCAACCTCAAGCTGGAGGCCCATACCTCTATAGAGGATCCAGGGGCAACTATGAAGCCTATTCACACCAAGACACCTGCCCACCACGTCCTCAGGGAGGTTGGGGCGGCAACCGCAACCAGGAGGTCAATCAACCCGCTCCTCGTGACCTTCGCGATCACCTTACCGCTAGTGCAGATGCCCGTGGCCACATCAAAAACAGCAGGTATGCACGCTACGAAGCTGAGATGGAGCGTCGCTGGCGATTCGACGCTGAACACAAAGGATTCGCTGCTCGCCAAGCACCACTCCCCGTCGGTGCATCGGGACTTCGCCCCTTTACGGAGAGGCTCCGAGCCATCCGATGTCCAATGGGCTTCAAGGCCATTGGTGTCAATACCTAGGACAGAAAGGCCAACCCTGCTCAGTGGCTAATTCTATACGAGATCGTCGTAAAAGCCGCGGGCGGAGACGAGGACATCATGGCAAACTACCTTTCTGTCATGCTTAACCAGTCTACAAATAATTGGTTCCTTAGCTTGTAGGAGAACTCCATCCGATCTTGGGATGACCTCAAGAAAGTCTTCACCAACAACTACATGGCTACATACGAGAAGCCCGGCACCAAGTATGACTTGGAAAAGCTTCATCACTCCTCCGGGGAATCTCTGCTCGACTTCATCAGGTGTTTCTCGGAGACAAGAAACTTCGTCCTCAACATCACTGATGCCGAGGCCATCGCTGCCTTTACCAAAGGGCTCCGACATGAGCAGCTTCACGGCAAGCTGTACCGCAAGAGGCCTACCACCATCGATGAGCTGATTCAAATGGTGAACGGACTCGCTGATGCCGAAGAAGCCGAACGGGCTGCCCGCTCTGCTCACTACGAAGACAGACATTAAGATGATCACGACCGCCACCGTGATGGTGATGACCATCGTGATGACCGTGATCACCATCACAATGACCTTGACCCCTAGCGTGGCGATCGTCTAGAGAGCTCGAGACGCAGACAAAGCCACCGTCGCTGACCTGATACCTCCATCAACACCGTCGACACCCATGTCAAGCGCACCTACGACGCGGATTTTGGCAAGCTACTAGACGACCCATGCCCTATCCACAAGGATGCCAAGCACACCATGCGAGAGTGCAGGGGACTAAAGACTACGCTCGGGGGAGAACCATCAAAGAAGCAACGGTGCAACGACGATGAGACCGAAGACGGTCAAGGTGGAGAGCGAGGCAAGAACAAGGGCCCTACATACCAGGATCCCACCAAGACCGTTGCTACCATCTTTGGTGGGAGGGCTATCTCCAAAGATAAGCGAGAGTAGGAGCTCGTAGCCCGACGCGTCATGTCGGTCGCTACATATGACGGCCCTGTCTCTGATCTGAAGTATCTTGACTGGTCGGAGCACCCGATCACCTTCTCTAGGGCCAATCAATGGTCGACATCCCATACCCAGGGCGTTTCCCACTTGTCCTAGATCCCATAATCAGGACGTGCGCTTCCAGAAGGTCCTCATCGACGGAGGGAGTGCCTTCAACATTCTTTTCACCGGATCTCTGTAGGAGCTAGGCCTCAAGAAGGAAGACCTCACCCCCATGGACTCTCCATTCT